TAAATGGAGGGAAGTGTAATGTCTTCTTGGAACTGGACATATAGAATGCATGAAATCTCTGTTCTCGTGAGATTAATAAAAAAGAAAACCTAAAAACTAAGTGGATGAGTTAGGCTGTATTCAAGTAACATTACAGTCATGATGTGGAGAAAAATGAGAAATACAAGCTGGTTAGAGCATTTGAAAACTGAAGGTTTTTAAGCCACTGTGTATAAAAATATGTGTCATATGGGCTCCATTGCAAACATTCCCTAGAGACGGTACCAACCATACTGCATCAAAAAAAAAGAAAAAACCTTTGGTATTTCTCTATTGTTCTTTTCTCCTTTTTCCAATTTTGTTTTCCAGAACATTTATGATAAGACACCTTTACCCCAGAGTTAAGACATGAAACTGCTACTGGAAGGAAAAGCTGAAGTTCCTGAAATGAATACGAAACAGTTTAATGCTTCATAGTCATTCTGAAGAGCGATTACTTGATTACTTTATTATAGCCTACTGGTGACAGTAGGATCCTCCAGAAATATAACCTTTGAAAGATGATCTCAAATTGCTATTTGTTTTCAAGAGTTTTCAGTCTGCTTCCAATTTTGTTTGCTCCCTCCCTGGTCATGGAGCTATATCAACCAGGACTCCTCTACACCCGGTGTAGGCGCACCTCTCCCTTTTACAACCTGCTGTTGGCTAAGAAACCAGATAACCAGGTTATCAGGGAACTCAGCCGTGTCAGCTTGAGATGCCACCCCAGGGCCTGTTTTGGGGCCCTTGGCTTGTTTCCCAAGCACCTCCTTTTTTCATCCCTCCAGCACCAAGGGCTTTGCTGGCTTTCTCCTCTTTCCCTGGCACCTGCATCAAACGCTCTTCTCACCTGCTGCTGTTCCTTTTCCCAGCTTGGCTAGGAACACACTGGGGTATTTCTTTCCTGTCTCCCATGGACAGTACAAGACCTCCTCTCTTCTTTTGTGAGAATTTTTGCTGCTATTTGCTCTAAGGAAATATAGAGTGGCTTATAAGCACAAGAAAAGTCAGCAAATCTAAAAAATTTCTCACAGCTATTTTACTTTTAATCACAGCTCACTTCTTGGATGACCCCAAAACATGATGTATCATTTTTCCCTGGCTTTACTGTAAATTCTTTGAAGGAAGGAATTTTACTATTATATGTCCAAAATCCAATAGGCTATAGTGATTCTACAATACATGCCTAAGTCAGTACACTGAATCATAGAAGTGTTTTATGAAAAAAGTTGATTACTGATGCATTTTTCAGTCCAACATTAACTAAATGAATTACTTTGAAAAACTAAATCAAGAGTGAATACAAAAGTACTTTTACAAGTTTGAGGAAAACAGAATTAAATTTGACACACACACACAAAAACCTTTGAATTCATTTTTTTCTCCCAAGCTACTAAAGCAGCCCCTCTGTTGTACAGAGGTACTATATTTGCACAATCAAAAATTCTGTCCAAGACATCGGTGCTAAAAGAGTGGTTTGTCATTTTATGGCAACAGCACACACTATCCGCTTGAAAGAACCAAAAAGAACTCAGCAGTCTCATAGCAGAGCTAAAAATCAAACCTTTCTCTGGCTCATTTCTTCATATCATCAGGTCCTCACTGCTGATGATGAATGTTCTTACAATAAGCCCTACATCCAATGAGAAATGATCTGACTGCTTCTTTTCAAAACTCACAGTTGCAAACATAAGCCTCATTTGTATGTTTTCAATTTTGTGACTAAAGAGAAAACAAAGGCAAATTCAGTGGTTTAGCCTAGTGCTAGTGGAGAAAGATGAGAAGGCTTGGAAAGATTTTTTTTCTTTTTTTTTTTTTTTTTGCTGGTTAAATTTCATGCTTTTGGAATAGTAGTACCAGCTCACGGGCACTCTAGTTGGTTTCCAGTGCCCTCCTCCTCCCCTTTTCCTCCAGACACAGTGCTCTTTTTCAACCAACAAGCTTGCCTTTGTCTTGACTTACACCACTGCCCTGCCTAACCCCAAAGCACCTCACGGCCGGGCCTATGGTGGAGAGCAAAGAGCAGAGCTTCCTCACTTTAACCCCAATGTGATGGATTGCTGGGAAGTCCTCTACTCAGCTGATCTGCATGTTACATGCAAGCAATCCATGAGTTCTGAAAAGGACACAAAACCATGTGGAATGCGGCAAATTCAGCCACCAACGGTGGGCCTTGCCATGCCCTCTATTATCCTCTTAAAAGCCCCCTCTTTCTGACCACACATCACATCTTTCCAAGTCATCACTGACTTGCAATCTGTTGTAATCCTTTCACTTATTCTCATTCCCATCAGTGAATCCATCATCTCTGGCAAGGTTCTCTCCATCATGTAGCTGTATCCTTGCTGATGTGAGAATACAATAGTAAACCTCTCGAAAGAGAAAAATGGGCAGCTGGAATGAAACTTTCCAGCTTTTCTGCAACGTGTCCTTCTATACTCAGTTGATGTCTAAGCGCAGCTTTGATCCACGCCTTCTCTAAACCTTGCTCCATCGGTTTTGCCTACCCTCTACTCATTTCTATCTCGTTCTTGGCTTACTAGCATGTCCCAAATGTTCCACCTTATCATAAACATAAAGGTCCCTCTCGTCAGCCAAATTCTCCAAAGATGATTCATTCTCATAAGCTCTTCCCTATCTCTTATCCATACTTCAACCTCACTGAACCCACTCTCCCTTACACCACCAATCGTCCTCACTGTGCAATCCACTCAGCCCTGCCTAGGTGGCATCTTGCACCAGCTCGGGTTCAACATGGATGCCCATTCCTCACTCCAGCCTTCCTCCCTTTGCTGCAGCCCACATTCCGTGATGCTCATGGTTGGCCTCCTTATGGACCACCCCTCCCCCATCCTTCCTCTGGATCCTTCAATGTTGGGAGTCTTCCTCAGCTCTGATCCTCCTCAGGGGAAGAACTCCCAGTTTAGCTCTTCAGACAGATGTCTTGTTAAGCTCTACTCAGATTTCCAACAGGATGACGATACTCCACTGGGTCCTCAATTCCTCCTTTCCTTCACCCTGTCACATCCAATCCGTGCACAAATCTGGTGCAGCCTCTCAGTATGCACCTCAGACCCACTTGATGTTCTCCCTCCCTTCTATCATCCAGTGTCAAGCCATCATCATCACCTCCTAACAGGACTCCATGCTTAATCTCTGGCCTGGTCTGGCCTCTGCCTGCTCTTTGCTCCTCTTACACTGCTTCCTGCCTGCACTCTCCAGCGCCTCGTCTGCACTTCCTCACCACACTCTCCACACCTCCCTTCTGTGCCCACTGTGCCTGCAATACCCAGTCCTTCTTGTGCTAAGTACTTACAACTTCAGGGCTCAATTTAAAAGTCATCCTCAGGATGAAGTGACTTATTCTCCACTCCCACTCCACCATCTAAAGCCCTGGTTAACTCCATACTCTAAATCGGCACCTAATTTACTTCCCTCATGCATGTATTAAAACCTCCTTCCTGAACATCTTGAAAGGAAGGAGACAAGCCATCTTTTTTTCCTTTCCTTCTCCTTGCTGAGCAGAATGGGAATATAACAGCAGGAATTTGGGACAACTCAATAAATAACAGTTGTTGACATGAACTGTTAACTGGTATGTGAATATTTTGGCTATTAGCATGTTTCATTTATCAGTTCCACTACCACCACAATACAATAAAATGTTTGCAAGTCCTATGTTAACTATTGCAGTGTCAAAAACATAAGAGAAAAAAGCTCAAAGTTCAGCAAATATCAGCAGAAAAATAATGATAAACTCCAAATATATCAATGATCTTTACAAAAAAAATTCTATATCAGGGGCTAGTGCGGATAGTGTCACGCTAATCTTCTGCCTATAGTAGCAGCATCCCATATGGGCGCTGGTTTGTGTCCTCTCCTCCTCTGCTCCAGCTCTCTGTTTCCAGCCTGGAAAGCAGCAGAGGACAGCTCAAGTCCTTGGGACCCTGCACCTGTGTGAGAGATAGGGAGAAAGCTCCTGGCTCCTAACTTTGGATTGGCTCAGCTCTGGCTGTTGAGGCCATTTGGGGAATGAACCAGTGGTTGGAATATCTCTGTCTTTCCTCTCTGTAAATAAGATTTACAAATAAAAATAAAAATAAAAATAAATCTTCAAAAAAAATCTATGCCACTACAAAATGATCTAGACCAATGGTAGATTTTGTATACTCATCTTCTTGTATGAACAGGGTATTTTCAAGGTTATGTGATTTGAGAGTAAAGCCTGGAATAAAGCGAGAACATTACATTTTAACCAATTATTTCTAAAAGAACTTTCAACTACATCAACTCAATTAATAACTGACTTATCAGCTTCTTGTTGGAAAGCTTTCAAAAATGTCATTTGAATTGAACTTAAAGTACTAAACAAGAAACAGTTTAGCAACAGTATTTGCCCAGAAGGAGGCTACAGATCTAAGAAACCTAAGATCTAATGGAAAGATCTCCAAGATCTAGACAAGATCTAATGTCTAATGATTTAAGAAAGCCGAGACATAAGATGACACCATCAGATAATACATACTTAATGGGTGTTACAACAGCGTTCTCCTATAGACACTTGGTGAAGGCAAGGCTCTTTTTTAGCTGAAGTGATCTATCTTCTCAGATGTAAAATTGAGGCAGGTTTGTGAGGAGGGAAAGATGTGAGAATGGAGGTATTTGGCAGAATAAAGCAAAACAAAAACAAGGCCCATGAGCAAGCAGCAAACAGGCTAGTAGCAGCACACAGACCCATGTCAGTGGAAAGGCATTACATCTCACTAATTTAGATCATGTGTGACTCTATAGGCAAGATCTTTCTAATGGAAGGGGACATTTAAAAAAAATAAACCTAGAGACAGAACACAATATACATTTTAGGAACGGAGACAGAAAAACAATTAGGAAATTAAATCACAGTGGATGCAGGTAATAAAGACATAAACTAGGTAAATCGAAACAGTATTACAGATTTATGAGTTAGTAAAAACATGACTTACAAACTGATGAGTTGGTTCTCGACGAGCTTTTTTTGGCTCCTAGCCACAACTGGTGCACACCTCAGTCATTGCAGGCTGGAAGGAAATGTCATAATTCTGTGGTCCTTTAATCCTCCAGCTCTGTTCCCTGGACATCTGACCCGTACCCTCAAACTGGTTTGTGTAACTTCCTTCCCCAACCGCCCAATATATCTAGCCAAAACAAAGGGCAACATTTACTGCCTCTCTCAACACATCAGGAAATCCCCAGGCCCACCATTGTGATACAAGCCAGTTCTGCCTTTAACATCCTATGCTCATTCTATACAGCTAAACTCCAGCCATTCTTCACACACCAGCATAAATGCCTCTTTATCCACTGAGCCTTCCCAGAAGCGCCAACTCAAAGCAAGTTTTGCCTCCCAAGACTCTCCTCTTCTCTCCAGAAGAATTCTGTTAACCTGAATCATAGCTGTTCCATTTCTCCTCTGTTGTTGACTCCTAGCAGCAACTGTAACCACTTTGTTGCTGTATCCCTCCCCCTTCTTTCACAAGTAAAGATCTTGTTCAATAATACATGGCAACTACCTCATAGAAGGCTAAGAACAAAGAATCTGAAGACAGAGTTTAAACCTTAACTCGGTTGTTGATTAGCCAGACAACCTTATGGCAAGTTACTTAGCTGCTTGATGTTTCAATATTTTCACATATAAAATGGAGATAAAGTAGATATCTCATTAAAATTGTCACGGGATTGGGCTTAAAAAAATGTAAGCACCACAAAAGTGTGTGAATACATACAATCACTCTTTAGAGCAGAGAAATAGTAATACTTTGCAGTTACATGTAAAGCTTTGACTTACATAAGAAAAAGCAAAATGTCAAGAACAAAGCCTGTCCCTGGGAACAAGCAGCCATAACAAACACTTTCTAATCCTTATGTGTGCCCTGAGGGTTGGCTGTGCACTCCGAAGTCTTCCTTATACTGACAATGGCTCTGTCTCGGTAGATGGTTCAATATTGGGAGAAAAATCTTCAGATTGGATTCCTGGGGCAATGGCCACTTAACTGGCGTCCTGGCCTCCGGTCTTCTCTCCCTTCAGCCACCTTCGCACAAGGCTCAGACCTTCCAAAACAAAATCTAGTGTTGTCCCACTGCTGCAAATTCCCTTCATTCTATTCACGAAGGAAAAGTTTGGAACCCCTTGGCAATGCATGCAGAAATGTCCCTCACCTGGCCCTAACCTAGTCTCCAGGTGCTTCTTTCAACACTTCTTACCACGAAAACTAAACCCACAGAGCCACAATTCAAAGGCTTTTCTACACCCTTCCTATTGCCTACAGCACCGCTACTGAATAGTGTGCTGTGGCTGCTGTAACAAAACGTCAAAGACCTTGTGGTATAAACAGGAGATATTTATTTTCTCACAAGTCTGGTGTCTGTGAGTCCAAGGTCAAGGTGCTGGCAGACAGGATTCTCTAGAGGCTCCCTCCTTGGCCTTCCTGACATATCTTCATAGGATCTTTGCTCTGTGCCTGTGCATCTCTGGGGTCTTCTGTGTTCAATTTCCTCTCCTTCCTTATAAGAACACCTGGCAGGTGTCAGGCCCAACCAGCAAAGCCCCATTTCCAAATCACATTCTGAGGCTAAAGAGGTTGGAACTTTGACACAGGAATTTTGCAAGGACACAGTTTATTCTATAGCAACCCTTTCTCCTCTCTCCTTCTCAAGCTAATTCCCATTTGGTTTTCCAAGATTGGCTTAAACCTTCCCACTCTAGGCTGACTCCAGGGTCCCTTTTCTCAGCCCATAGAACCTCTATACACCTCTACCTGTTGCAATCCTATTGCTCAGCACAATTTAGCGGCCTCTTTCTTCAGACTGCATTTCTAACTAGCGAAGTCTATATTTCCAGTACGCAGAACAGCATCTGGCCAACAGAAGGCACTTAGTGAAAATATGCTTATTGAGGAGGAGTAGCAGAAGGATCATGGTTCTTGTAGGAAGGCAAGTATTGGATTCAAATTCTGACTCTGGAATGGGTGTTGTGGTACAGCATGTTAAGCCACTGCTGGGATGCCCATATCCCACATCTAAGTGCCTGGTTTGAGTCCTGGTTTCTGATCCAGCTTGATACAGTGTGCCTGGAGGCAAAGATGGGGGTGGGGAGGGGTTGGTGCTCAGGGGCCTAGTTCTTGCCACCCATGTGGGAGACAAAGCTAGAGTTTCTGGCTCCTGGCCCAGTCCTGGCTCTGGCAGGCTTGTGAGGAGTGAACGTGCAGATGCAAGATTTTTCTGTCTCTCCAATAAATCTTTGAACAGAGAATCATCGACTCTGCCTTACTTACCTTGAGACTCAGCAAATCACTAAATGCTGAATGGGCACTGTAAACAAGATGGTTGTAAAGATAAGATAAATCACCAAAATAAAAGTATTCATTTGTGCAGTTGGCAAACAGTACGTGGTCCATAAATATTAAAGATTCTTTTATACTCAGTGGTTCCTCCTAGCAGTCAACTGACCCTGGGCACACTGACCATCTTGTCTCTGCTTTTGTTGCTTAGCTATAAACATCCTAGTGCTTTAAGAATATATTAATATATACAAACATTTAGACAGGTAGTAACATACATGCATCCCATTATGATTACAAAAACACTGCAAGTGTGAATGGATATGCTTCATATCTAAGTCAACTAAATGCGACTATTAGTGTCTACTATTAGTGACTATCTAATGTCTTGATTTCTTACCAACTAAAGAGTTTGTTAACTAATGAAATTCAAACATTGGCAAAGATGATCAAAAAGAAAAACTACAACATAATATGTTATCATCTGGTGTTTAACACACTTTGGGCACTGAAATCACATTTGTAAAAAAACAAGTTTGTCTACTCTTTGTGACTTAGGTTAACTATTCACAGTGGAGAATAACACCCCTTGGCTCACTCCTGCAACTGTGAAATCACAAAAGCTGTGAACTGGAGAGGACATTGGGGAAAGAGTCCAGTTCTATAATTTCTCACACAAGTGGAAGTGGGTGTGGGATGTTGTTTTGTTTTTTTGTTTTTGCAATCTCCCTGAGCAGCTCTGGGATGGATGGGACTAATGGTGGACAAAGAATAACTGGTTTGCAAGCACAAATCCCCAAAGGGGTTCAGAAACCTCAGATCTCCAGAGCATGCTGGAAGAATGAGGAACACTGCAAAGTCCCCTTCAACCATTATGTCATATCTGAAGTGGTGGAGCTGCCTGCCGAGAAGCCTAGGGGCTAGGCAAACCTAGACTGACATCTCCACCGGTCCCACAGACTGAGCCACAGACTGGAGGAGCAGGCAGGATGAAGCGATGAAGCCACCAGCATTTGCAGAGCTCCTAACTGGGGAGCCTGGCAGATGGCGAGTTCCCAAACGTGAGTTCTTTCTGACCTCTTCCATTGTCTGCATACGGATCTGGGAGATAATAAAACGCTGCCTTCCCCAGGGGGTGTGCTGGCTGCACATCTGAGGCTTGCTGGACATTGCTTAATCTTAAAAATAGCTAGAATAACTGCTGTGATAACAGAATGCCTTCATCCTTGCCCTTCCCGGTCTGCTTGCCCTTCAGGGTTTATTTTCAGGCAACATGGCACCACCGCCACTGACATGCTATTTGGAGATCCCACCAGCTCAGACTTCGAATTCAACAGCAGATCCGAAGGCTTCAAAAATGTCACTGAGATACGCTGGGCTCTGAAGCAGCCCACTTCACCCTCTTCCTATGTTCCATTCCAGCTTGATGCGTTTCCAGGCTTTTTCCCCCTCAGCATAGAAACGCCAGGTCTAAGTACAGATGTGTGAGCAAGTGACAACTCAAGCCTATTACTACAAGCTAGAATTTCTTAAAGTGTTGGTCAGATTATTTTCATGCAGCTAATAGAAAGAACATCTGCCAATATCTATTATTTATGCTTCAAACCAAACTGCTTCTCTCTCTCTCTCTCTCTCTCTCTTTCTCCCTTTCTTTCTCTCTCTTACAAGATTTGTGGTGTCTGGCTTGAAATCAGTGATTAAGAAAAGCCCAACGTGACCTCAATACAGAAGAGAGCTCTTTCCAATGTCCTCAAATTGACAGCACAGATGGCGATCGAGGCTTATGGTTTTAATGTCCAGGCACTAAAGCCACTCATCCTCCAAGATGAAGGCTGCAGATGGATGCTCGCGGGGCGGAGGGCTGTCACTTCTCAGACTTGGCCGCTGAGGGAGCATCCCGAGGTCGGAGCCCAGCGCCCATCCCTCGGCACCCAAAGTCCATAAACACGCACTTGCCCTCGCTGGGTGAGGGGACCTAGCTCTCCCGCACCCAGCTCCAGCTCGGGCATCCGCGTGTGACTTCCAAGAAGCTGAGGACCGGGGAGCGCGCGGGGACGCTCCGCCACTTCCCGGGGAAGTCCATCAAGGACAAGTTTGGAGGCGTGCGCGGGAAGGTTACTCACCGGAATGGCCCGGCGTCCTCCAACCTGCGCTCCCTTTGCAAGAAGCCCTAGACGCGGCGGCAGCCGGAGAGCAAGCAGCCGAGGCTGCCGCCGCCGCCGCCAGTAACCACCCGGGCGTGGCAGGGACCGGCGGACGGCTTCACGACATCATCATCCGGCGACCTTGGAGCTGCAGTGACGCCGGGTCAATGACAGCCCCTCCTCGAGAGGGAAACAGCTCCAAGAAGACCCACTCTCCCAGTAGCCTCCACGGCCCCTGCGCACAAGCCGCTGGGATTTGTAGTTTCCTCTCGCCGCGCCCCGCCCAGGCCGCCCCGCCCCCTGGCTGCCCCGCCCCTGGCCGCGTCCCCGAGCCGGGGTGGGGCGAACCGGGTGCCCCGGGGTGCTCGTGGGGAGGGTTGGGGCACAGTTCCAGGCCGACGGCTCCCGTCCCCGCCGCGCTGCAGTCCAGCGCCCCGCGGCCCGCGCTGGGAGCGGGCCTAGCGCGCACAGCTCGCCTCTCGGCTGGCGGGGCTCCTGGTCGCCCTGCTGCCGCGCTGCTGGCAGCCTTGAAGAGAGTCCGCGGGCGGTGATCGCCACTAGGGTAATGAGGGGAGGCAGGCCCGGGATGGTGGGGGAGGTCTAGAGGTCGATGGGAGACGTGCTGACTTGTGTCCGCGCGAGATCGGGGCGCCGAGGCCGGACCTAGCCGTGCCCCCGCCAGCCCCCCTGCACGGCTTCTGGCCGGAGCTGGGCGCCCCAGGCCGCGGGTCCCCCGTCCGCGCCTGGACAGCAGCACCTGAACGGAGGGAGGTGCCGGCCACGTCAGGTGCGCGTTCCTCACCGCCCTGTCTCTCACCTTTGGCCGCATCCACCGGCCTGGCGAGCGTTGGCGCACACGGACACCCCGGCCGCCGGCGCCATCTGCCACCTTCCTGAGTTCACTGCCAGGTGCCCCCAGTGCTGGACGATGGAGGAGGCTCTCAGAGTAGCTCGGGTCTTGCAGTGCTTGTTTCCCTTGTGCCTTTGTTGTGTCGAGTACTCCTTTCTCCACGTTGGACGGATGGCTCCGCACCAAACGCACGGTGCCTGGCACCCAGAAGGCGCTCGGTAAATGAATGTCGTTGGAAGCATGAGTCACGATACTAAACTCAGGGAAATTCTTCGGAGCTTTGGTTTTTTACGTGTTTGATGGGTTCCCAGAATCACTTTGAAAATTATAGTCATTTTAAAGCTCAACAGAGTCAAGTCAGGTGGGGTGTTTTTGGTTTTTTTTTTTTTTTTTTGGCATCCTCTGTGACAATAACCTACTATCAGATGCCCCAAAGCATCCCCAAACCCGAGTTTTGTAAACAGAGAGAATGTCCTTCGCTTACCACCAAACGTGCTACCCTTTCAGGCTAAAGCCTTTGGATAGTGCGTTATGGAACAAATTAAAATCTGCAATAAAGCAGTATCATAATTGCAGTTAGCTTCATAGATACAAGTGCACGGACCTTTCAGAAATGTCGCCTCTTAAGTATGGTTATTTTTATAGGAAGGATTTATATTCCCCTGAGAGCTTGCAGAAGCAAACTGCTCTCCTCTCCACCCCCTTGCTAGGGGCGCAGCAGCTGCTTGGCCCCACTGAAGAGTCCGCAGGGGCCAAGCCGAGGCCAAATTCTTGGGCTTAAGCCACTCTGTCACCACAGCCCTTGCAGTGTCAGCAGTTCTCGCTAAGTTTTTCTGAAAAGAAAAAGAAAAAAAAAAAGAATAGATAATGTAATGACGTTTTTAATTCTTTTGAGACCAAACAGGTAACAACTTGCTAATGTTCTGTGGAAATGGCCCGATTCACAGTAATAATCCCCAGAAAATCCAGCTGATCACCACATCCCCAACCTCGCTGATGGTGAGAAGGTCAGCGGAAAGAGGGGCCTTGTCCCCACTGGGTGTCCCCAGCGCCCCGTGCAGCCCCTCGCCTACTCATTAGACAACTGGGGAAAGAATTCTTGGCTGTTAAGCAAGGACAGTGTAATGGTTCCCTATATGTGTATTTTTTCTCCATTCACGTGGATGTCTCCTTAGGCTAGACTATGAGTAAGTGGAGGTTTTACTGAGCTAAATGGTGTGGCGATTGGCATGGTTATGGAAACCCTGCCAACTTGCTTTCCGGGTGAGCTATGCCCCACCGCCACTGTGGTAGGAGTTGCGTTTCAGTGCACGCTTGCGAATCTTTCAGGTGTGTACAAAGTCTGGGAGTTGGGAGCACTTGCAGATGGCGCAGCTCTCACTTGTGTCACTGGAAGGTAGACAGGGCCAGCACGGCTCTCCCCTTTGTGGTAGCACAGCCACTGATGCTAATGCATGGCAGGTTCATAGTGGACGTCAGGAACACACTTACCTCTTCCCTTAGTAACAAAGTTGGACACTCGCCTTCAAACATTTTTTAAAACTTGGATATTTATCTGTAATGTTTGTGGCTTACAATATCTTCTGATTCTCATTTTGCTTGGGTGTTTGTAGATATGATCGAATTGGGGACTTGGGTAAAATGAGTCATGTGCAATGTAGAACGAAGAGATGACACTGGTTTCATGTCAGAGGACAACTGGCACTAGCAAGTTTAGACCATGGCCGCCCTTTCTACTGATATCTGTCAGGAAACCATTGGTGGTGTCTTTGCATCTCCTTAAGGCTAGACAAGTTGCTATTTTATACCTGAATCTACTGCTGGATCCTCTCAAACGCTTCAAGATTAACGGTGTCAACAAGGTAAACAGGAATTATTTGCACATCTTTAGTATCTGTCAACAAATTTCAAGAATGGAATTGAAGTTTAAAAATCATAAGGTGGAAGCAATTTACCCTATAAGAATATTATTTTCACATGAAAACAAAAAAAAAAAATAGTGTATCTCTTTTTCTTTAACCATACAGCAACAAGGACACATTAACTTCTAGTTTTTCATCAATCCTAATTCTCTCCTAAATTTGGTGTTCAGGGACCCTAAATGATTTCATAGGTGATTAATTCAAGAACAAGGCTTTGGAAATTCTCAGTTTTCTTATATTGGGATTCAGTCTCATCTTGGTGGGGGAGGAACTCATTTCTGTCAAATATAGGTTCAAATTTGCTTTCCTGGTTTACTTTCTTATTTGCTCAAGTGTTGTGGGCTGAGGAGTTGATTAGCATTTGTTAAGCTTGGCTCCTGCAGGAAATGGGCTTGGAGGCTGTGGCACCTTGTCTGTCAGACTCATTAGCATCCGATTGTTCTGCTAGAGGCTTGGGGGAAAGGTATATATGGCTGAATAAAGGGAGGCCAAGAGAGACCTCTTCCACCACTACTGGTCTCCTGTTGGTGTCTGATTCCCTGACCCTCGCCGTGTCCATGCTACCGGCCCAGCCGTCCGGTACACTCAAGGTTCCTTCAAAAAACAAATGTACAGAAAAGATAAGCGAGGTGAGGCCCTACACATGCAGAGAGCCTCCCCTCACGTCGCCGCGCCTTCCTCAGTCCAACTTGCTGTGTAGAGCTCTTTCGTTCCAATTTTAGTGTATGTGCTGCCGAAGTGAGCACTATAGAACTCTTTCAACGATGTTCCTAGTCCTTGTGTCAAGGAATTGCTGTATAAATGTCAGGTGGGTTTTGGGTAATTACTTGTCTTCAAAGAATGTTTTTTTATGTAGGTCTAAATTATTTTGCCATTGTTTTTACAGTAGGGTATTTCTGCATCCTGAAACGAAGATAAAACCACCAATCTTCTCTACAATAGATGGAGTTTCACCCCTTTCTGTGAACTAAAGCGAGTCAATGTCTCTTTTGGTAAGTGTCTGTTCCTTCGGCTCTGATTTTGTGCCACCAGGGTGGGGAGCTGCTTAGTGCAGAGCTGTGAAAGAGGCCGGTTCTCGTGGGAGCACCGGATTCTCTGATCTGCTGTTTGCACCTGAATGACCCAGTTCTTGAGAAATTAATTAAATTCTCCTTGAATTTTTGTCTCTCAAGAAGAACTATTCCTGTGTTTTTTGATATATTCATTATTCTAATCATTTTCCCTATACTCACTTTCTTACATTTATTTGTTATACTTGGGTTAATTCCCATCCAGTTAGCTAAGCCTTGTCATTTGAAGATTTTAAAAAATATTTCCTCTCTAGGACAAAAGAGGGAATATTTTGATTCAGAGGATTCTAAAATATTTCGTCATGGCAGAGATAATGTAAAGTTTAAATTAAATTACAAACTGATCTAATATAAGCCACTCTTGATCACATTCTATAATTGTTCCAAAATCCACTGTTATGGAATAAACAATTAAGGAAGATATCCCTTTGCCCAAATTTGGAGGTCCTGATACACAGCCCTCTGAATCTCAGAATCTTCATCTAATGAATGGAAAAACTAGGCCCATGCCCTTGTACATCTTTTCCACCTTACAAATTGATAACATTGATAAACTTTACATATAAAAATATAAATCTAAAGGATTAGGACTGAAATCACCCAACTCTGATCCGTGACCCAGATCTGACTGATTTTGTGGATAAAGTTTACTGAGACAGTCACACCCCTTCATTTTCTTCGTCTGCGTCTTGCTTAGTCTGCTTTCCTGCTGCAGCAAGGAGAGCCATCACTGTATCAGAGACCATACAGCCTGCAAATACTCTGCTGCTCCTTGGAAGTCTGCTGCTCCTTGCTCTTCAGGATGGGGAATTTCATCTCAGTGTGTTTCCAGATACCTGAAGCTCCCCTTTGAAGGAGTAAATCTTGGAGGCAATCAGTTAAAGTAAATGTGTAATGTGCTTCTCATATAACAACATCACTGTCTCCGTCTCCTCTCATCTCTGGAGACTGATGGAGTGGATCCGCAACTAGGAGTCTGAGTTCTGACTACAGTTCCTGGCAATCCTGGGTAAACTGAAAATGAAGATGATACCTGCCCTGCCAACCTCTTTCAATTTTTATAGATCAGAGATATATAAAATTATTCATCATATCAATGTACTCACCGTTTTTTAGAAGCATACTATCTTAACAGGAAAACTGCCTGGTCAAGCATTGTGTGGTACATAAGATACAATGAAATCCTTAAGCTAAAGCAGATACAGTGGTTCTAAATCTTTTTAAAAAAAATTCATCTGATGAGCATCTATTTGACTAAAGGCAGGAAAACACATTTAAAAATAAACTTTTGGACATGGACCAAAAAACATTTGGATTATGTAAAATATGAGGCCTAGACACCAATGCTTGTATTGGGAATAAGTCCCATAGGTACCATACCCTCTGTTGGTAGATGACAAAATTCTTGCCTCTCCGAATAAAAGGGGAGGTATTGACTAGCAATCATTTTGCTTGCACAGTTAGGCACATAAGTCCTTCTTTTTTTTTTTTTTAAAGATTTATCCATTTGTATTACAAAGTCAGATATACAGAGAAGAGGAGAGACAGAGAGGAAGATCTTCCATCCGATGATTCACTCCCCAAGTGAGCCGCAACTGCCGGTACTGCGCAGATCCGAAGCCAGGATCCAGGAACCTCTTCCAGGTCTCCCACGTGGGTGCAGTGTCCCAAAGCCACGGGCCGTCCTTGACTGCTTTCCCAGGCCACAAGCAGGGAGCTGGATGGGAAGTGGAGCTGCCAGGGCCAGAACTGGCGCCCATATGGGATCCTGCTGCGTTCAAGGCGAGGACTCTAGCTGCTAGGCCACTCCACCGAGCCCACATAAGTTCTTCTTACCATATGAATGGGAGCTCTCCTGAGGTCCAAGTCCCCAGCCAGGCAGCGGCCTCAAAAGGACGATTCTAAAGAGGCAGCTTTGGACCTCTGTTAACTTTTATACACACTGTTGTTCATAATGATTGTTGTGAAGATTTCAAGATAAATGTTGCAGAAGATATGTAAATACCAAACATAATAGATTAGTGATCTCTCTGGAAATTGTTTTCCATATGAACAGTAAGAAGTATCTTCAAAAACAGTTTTGTTATAAATGTTACTTACCCTAGAAAACCAACAGAAACTTTACAATGAATCAGTTCTGTAGCTGTCTTGGCATTGTTAGCTTCTGTTATTCAGAATGAATTTTACATAAGACAGTGGGAATATAAATCAACTTATTGCATGGATTAATAAAATATGCAAACTCTAGGAATTCACCTTAAAATGACCAGTTTAATATTGAGAAGTTCTGACATATATTGAAACAAAGAGAAATGTGACTGCTTTTAAATAACTACCAAATATGGAGTTGATATGACTTATCTAATTTGGAAGTGTCTTATACAATGCATGTATACTTTTCTTTTGGTATACCTTTGCTTCTTAAATAGCATAACATTAGATTCACCCTACCAATTGATGATTAGTCACGTGTTATGTTTTTAATGGCAATATGTAATAATAGGATCATGAGTTAATTTGCAGAAAAATATGCTGCGACAATAGAAGTATTTTGAATTTGCTTTGAATCAGAGTTAGAGATATTTGTGACTTTAAGAATCGAATTGGCTCCAGATAGACCTAATATATGGTTTAAAGTGAGTAAACTTTCTCCCTGGACTTAAAAGGGAAAATATCTGAGGATCAAAATGAAAACAATATAAAAATAATACAGCAGATCTTTAGTTAAATATTTAAAAGAATACTTCAGAGGTAACAAAAGTGTTATGAAGACATTGGCTGACACGTCTGACTCCCATATCAGAGAGTCTGGGTCACTATCTGGCTGCACTTTTAATTCCAGCTTCTTGCTGATGCCGGCCTTGGGAGGTGGCAAGTGAGATCCAGGTTGAGGTCTTGGATCCTGGCTTCAGCCTGGCTTAACCCTGTTTATCTGTGTCTCTGCTTTTTAAATAAATAAATATTTTTAGGAGATAAAATTAATATCCGGGCTTAATATGAATTGCTATGATGATCTCAGGAAAGAAGAGAACAAGGGTAAGAGGTAGCTCCGAGTATAATTCTGACAGATAGAAAATCTGTCGTCCACACACCCAGTTGTCTCCCCTCTGCCATTCTGAGTCCCTTCGTGCTACAGATCCTGCCTGACTTCAGTTGTAGATTCCTGTGTTCTGCCCTTTCTCTTGCTCTCCACCCTAAGACCAGATTTTTAAATACACACACATACACATACAATCCCTGGTGACTGATTTTTAACTTTTTAAATGTATTTGTGCCTTCCAGGATTGTTTCTGTACCTCACGAACACAAGTGGAATCACTGAGACCTGAGAAACAGTCTGAAACCAGTATCCATCAGTCCCTGGTAAGGCAATGCATGCTCCCCTGTGACAGTCACTCCTGGTTCTCTCACAGCTCTCCTTCTTTGCTGTTTCTTTTACTAGTTCTTCCCCCTCTATTCTCCTCTCTGTGATTGGCCTCTTCTTTTCCTAAACCGACTCTCCCTGAGAAATCTCACCTCTTCCCACCACTTCGGTGCTTACATTTCAAATTCCTGGAGCTCCTTCAAGTTTCCTGAAGGGAGCCTGGCTTCAAGTAGTTCTTTTGATTCTTAGATTTTTACCTACCACCCCATACTCTTTCTTGGACCCCAGAAGTGTCTTTAGAGCACCTCTGATTGGATTTTTCAAAGGCATTGCAAAATAGTTTGAAAAAAAAATTTTTTCAGATCTCAGCAATACATGTATTTGCTGCTCTTACTGTGAAAATCATCCTATAAAGCCATCCTAACTAGAAACTCTGGAGACTTCTCTTGCCCCTATCGAGTTGGAAGTGTCTTAAGTGTCCACTCTGAAAGGCCATTCACAGGAGCACTGTAATGTTCAAGCATCCTTCTCTTCCCCAGACCACTGCAGGTGGACTCCTTGTCTCTGGTCTCTTAGTCACATAGATAGTCTTCTCCAGCCATGCATATCCCCAGTCAGCACTACTTCCCAGCCCGGTCTGCCAGAGCCACTTCCTGTCTCTCAATCTCTGCTGCCTTCATAAGCCAGTGGATAAAGGTCTGGAATGTCTAGACTTTCTAGGTTTGAGTTAACATATGGTGTGCTCTCTATATGAGATACCATTCATCATTTTCTCCCTTTTAAATTCCTCCTCATTCATTAAAAAAAAAAGTTTCACATGTCCCACTTAAGAAACCTTGCCGTTTGTACGTATTATTCCATATGGTCCTGCATATATTAGACCTTCCCATAAAATAGGACTCTCAGTATAATCTCATGATGACCAGTATCTGTCTCCCTGTCTGTAACATCCTCATTAAAGTAGGCATCCTGTTGTTTTCTGCTTTATCTGCTCTGGGGAGTGCTGATCTGTGAACTAACAGTTAAAAGATCATGCTTGATACTAAATGTTTCTCCGGATCTTCTCCTTCCTACTGTGCTTTGGACCACAGAATGGCACCTGCTTGGAAATGCCCTGCTTGCCACAAAATAAAGATAATCTCACTTCATCTCATTTATGATTCGTCTCAGTCCTGTATTCAGCTATCCTCCTTGTCATTATTTCACCTTGTATTCTGTACTAGTTGATAGTCTTCTAGGCACCTGAGTTTTTGAACAGCAGAAGGTCATAGCCAGCCTAAGTTGGGATTCCCTCCAGGGTGTGGCAGTGTTCAGAACCAATTTATTGTTGTGTCCATGAGGGAGAGGGCTGAACTCCACTCACAGGTGCCTCCCTGGATCCTTCCAACCTCCAGGTTGGAGCCATTTTCTAGTTCGAGGAGCTGAATCTTACATCTCATTTGTTCTGGGAGTTAAACTTTCAGTGAGGAGAGCAGAGGCATGGTCTATGTGATGTCTCTTGCGGAAGCGTAAAACTGGAGAAGTTATGTAATGTAAATTGATACCAGCTGGAACCAGTGCCTGCTGATTAGAGAACACTTCTTGGGCCCTGCCTGAGTCATGCTTAAAAACACCATCTGTTGTCTTTAATGGGGCAACAAGTTTTCCAAGGACCAGGAGCCTATAGGCAGTGTTAAATTTTGTGTTCAAATGTCATGTTTGGAGGACCCTTCTGGTTTTCCAAATGATTTCTGCCTTCTGTAACACTTAAAGCCTTCATGTCTCTAGAAAAGTTCATTTTCTCTAATTAATCTTTGCAAATGAAAAGCTGCAATATTTGAGTTGAGGCGGTGATTTTTCAAATGATACGATTTTGGCATTGCTATAATTCCTAAAAGGTCTAGCAGCCCAGTATTCAACCCACTCAGTGTTTTCTACAGTATCCCTGAGGATTATTTGCAGAAAGGCAAACACAAAATGCTCCATTACAGAAAATAGTAAAACGATACAGGAAGGTATGTAAAACAAGTAAAACATCCAACATGGTCCATGGTCTCTCCCAAAACTTCAGAGTGCCCTTCCATGGTGGTTGCTGAACCAGTCTGTCACCCTCAGAAACTGATTTAGTGGATCTGTATGTCAACGTTAGAAGCACGTTAGATTGATGGATAAACCCAGCCTCCCAGTGTCACAGGAAGTAGTGCCCTTACATTGCAGCTTACATCCTGATAGCAAAGCTCCATGGGAAACCAAATATTAATTGGAAGCAGTTTAATTTGTAAAGGAGAACTAATGTCAAGTGTCAACGTACTTGAAATTCATAGCCTATCTTTTCTTTTGTGGTAAGCAGACATTTTTGCACATCAGATCCCTTCTGCTGGTAGCCCTCCGTTCACTGATGATGTGCCTGTTTGTTCCTCAGGTATTGACAGTAGTGCTCACAACCTCTGTTTGAACATGTGAGTGAAGACCTGTTGTAGAAGTAACCTTATGAGCTTCTTTTGCAGATTAAGTAGCCCCAATTCCTCTAGTGGTATCAGAACCAATATTGCTGGCCCTCCCCAGGCATCTGTATTCAGCAGTGTCCCTGTTAAGCTGTGGTATGTCAGTTATCCACCACGTTCCCAAGACTGGCTTGGTCACATCAATGATGTGACACGCAGGAGGGCTCCTGTCTCCTTCCAGCTGTTCACTCTTTATAAATGCACCTTCATACTGTGCTTTGATTAAGCCTTCCTTGTCATACATACTATGCTTGAGTTAGTAATTAGGCCACTGATTTTTTTTTTAAGATTTTATATTTGTTCCTATAAAACTGTATTGGTCTATGCCCATTCTTCCTGTTACTCAAGATTGTGAGTCCTGGTTTATCCTTCCAGTAGTTAGCTGTGTCTGGCAATGCACAATTCATGTTTGTTTTTTTATAAGCAGACCTTTTACATCTTCGGGAAGTTGCTAAAATTTTTCAAAGAACAAGGACAGGAATGCTGCCATAATTTTTGCTTTCTATTCTCTAACTAAACAGCGGATCAAAGACAAGGGGTCCGTTTTGGGGTGACTTCCTTGCAGTCATCTCACTACTGCCTGTTTATGGTTACCACATTATCTCCTTTAGTGCTTATAACTCACCTACCTAATAATTTGATCTCAGGCTTTTCTGGGAAGCAGTGTCGAGCTTACTCCTTTGCAGTTGTCTCCTGTTTTGCAGTTTGGATTAGCGTTGATATTTCCATTCTGGTTTCTCGTCTGAATTTCAGTACATCTGCAGATTTACTGTCCCAAATGAAGTTGCGTTTGGTGTAGGGATCTGAACCTGCTTGCAGCTGTGAGTGCTCGCTTACCATACAGCTGCTCCTTCTGGTTTATAGAGACCGGTGGAGGAGCTGGAAGCCCGATGGAAGCTGAGCAGCTCTGCTCTCGGACCATCTCTTGCAAAGGTTACACCATTTTTTCAAGCACTGGACTGTTATGTCCCTAATCTACCTGACAGGTCTACACATTGATACCCATTTGCTTTATCTCTTGGGTGTTTTCTTTAAATCTGACTACCTGTGGTTCTAAAGAAAGTAAATTGATTCATTTGGACTTCTTTTCATTTCACTGGAATAATTTTCAATTTTCAATTTTACCTTTTTTAGGCTTTCATTACTCTTGACCAATATTCTTCTTCATTCATCAGTAGCCCTGGGCTTTTTTCTACTCTCTTAAAAGTTTTTGGGAAACTTATCTGCCACTGTCTGTGTATATCTGCATCTGTCATTTCAGACTTCCACTGTTTCTCTTGGGTAAAAAGAATCAAGTATGTGAAAAACATTTAGCACGATTCCTAGCACATAATAATGTCATTTGCCCCCTTTCCTCCTCCTCCTTTTCTTGGAGACAGTAACAAGATTCTTGCCACCTGCTGGTGCCTGTTAATTCTAAGCCTTTACCAGATCCTCCTGGCTCTCATATAATGCCACTGGTTTAGGCATCCTGTTACCCCCGCACTGTGCACTGTTTCATTGCCACCTGCTATTTTGTTGCCACCTGTACAGACACAAACCCAAGACTGCCCCCAGTGCATCCCATGAGACCTTCTAGTGGCACATGGTCCTTCATTCAGGAGCTCTCTATATAACACCTCCACCAGCAGAGAATGTCTCTCATGGGAGAAAAATAGATGTGGCCAGCAACCACTGGCCTCGGCAGCAAAGCCTAGGGCGCCCCTCAGAGGCCCTGGTCAGCTCTTCCTCCAGCCGCCAGGAAAGATGATCAGCCTTTCTCAGCAAGTCCCAAAAGCTATCCGCTGGGAAGAATTCCTTGCTTTTTGTAACTTTTCTTTCCCTGCAGTGGCTGGATCCCTGGTAATCATGAGAACAGTCTCTTGAGCCACCTTTCTGTGTCTTGCTAATGAATTCCTGTGTGTTGGGAAATATAAGTAGCAGAATTTCTGTTGGGGTGGGGACACAAGATTACCGGACTGCAAAAGTTTATGTTATGTTTGCATCTGTTAAAACTGTGCAGGTTGATGAGCCAGCCCTTTCCCAGTTCCCTCCCTCTGCCAGAGCCAGCGAAGTGATATGTTCCACCAATGTTTCACACTATGAACTCCAAGTGGAAATAGGTAATAATCCTGAATTTCACATAATCGACCCCTTGCAAGTAGAAATGAAATTATTACCAGAAAGGTTGTTTTGTAGGCAAGACGTTTTTGGTGATTACGTACAGCAGAAAATTAGATGCAAATGTCAGCCTAATGAATTCAGTATATTTTGTCTAAAGATAATGACCCAGACTTTTTCAACATTCCTATCTAAAGATTTTTTTATTTCAGTGAAGTGCATTTAGAGGAGGGAGACCCAAAGTAATCTAAGTGCTTCTTACTTCTGTTTCTATTGTGGGAGGCTTTTCATTTTATGTCATAATTTATATTGGGTATGAATTAATATCAAATCTTGCAAATCTTCTCAGTCAGAGTCCCTTAACTAAATTGCTTTCTAGTTTAAAACTTTACCTAAAATGTTTGTAGTGTGAGCCTTTATCAGTTAAGAGTGGAGCCCAGTGACGGGGTCAGGTGCCAGGGACAATGCCATGAGTGGTTCCTGTCCTCTGCGTGGACAGGCACCTAGGACAGCTTTGTCTCCTGCACTGGAGAGTGCATTAGTTATGCCGTGTGCCAAGTGTTACAGGAGCAGAGACAAGGGAGTGCCAAAGCAACCAGCCTGGGAGCAAACAGAGGTGACCAAAAGGGGCTGGGTCCTGAAGAGTGAGCAGGAGTTTGCTAGTTGTTCTTCTCAGGGTTTTTATTGAAAAATAACAAGAAAAGTCATGGCTGAATGAAGCAGAAAAGGAATTTTTGAACAATGTTGCTAACTCACAGGATTGCTGGTTAGAACAATAGGCTGGCAAGAAACCAATTGTATAGAGTATCTGTCTAGGAGCAGCCATGGACTAGGACCAGTCTAGGTGGAATTTTTAAAATATTTATTTAATTAGTTACTTTATTAGTAACTTACTTATTACAGAGAAAGAGGAAAAAACACACAAAGAGAGGTATCTTCCATCTGCTGGCTCATTCTCCAAATGGCCACAGTGCTAAGGCTGGGGCTGGATCAGGCTGAAGCCAGGAGCCAGAAGCTTGATTTGGGTCTCCTGTGTGGGTGCAGGGGCCCAAACACTTGGGTCATCCTCTGCTGCTTTCCCAGGTGCATTTGTAGAGAACTGGATGCGAAGTGGAACAGTCGGGACTGAAACTAGTGCAACTAGTGCTGTCCTGGGATGCTAGCATCCCAACCTGCATGCCACCGTGCAGGCCTTTAGCCTAGTTAGTGATCTTGCTGCTGAGTTAGTCCTTCCAAGACACTGGCCCTCTGCAGTGAGCTCTGACTGCCCCTGTACCTTCATGCCACTGCCACATCTTCCCATTGACTAAATCTGGGCTACATGCCAGGGCGAGAGACCAAGGGGAGTGAGGACCTTCCCTTTTCTAAAGCAGCAAATTGGTGATGGTGATGGTCAGAGCATCCAGGAAACTTTATGCTGCAGAGCTGTGCTGCACAGCTAACATGTTTTACTCATTGTGTGTGGAAATATAGGGTGGTTCAGCCACCTTGGCAAGTTTGGCAGCTTCTTATAAAGTTAAAGGCCCACTGGCCCTGACCCAGCAAACTCATCTCAGGTATTTGCTCAAGAGAAATGAAAACACATGTCTGTTGAAAGACCTATGTAGGAATATTTTTGCAGCTTTCCTTACAATCAGCAAAAACAAAACAAAACAAAACAAGAAAAACCACCTAAATATTCTCTAGTCTTTGGATTAATAAACTGCTCTCTGACTACCCAACAGATTATTCCTCAGTGATAGAGGGAATCTGCTGATACAAATGACAGCAATGGATGAGTCTGGAAGCACTGTTAGTGAGAGAAGCTAAGCACAGACACCAGGGCATCGGGGTGGCACAGTGAGGGATGGTCACTTACCATGCCACCGCCCCATATTGGAGCGTCAGTTTAAATCCCAGCTACCCTGCTTCTAATCCAGCTTCCTGTCAATGTGCCCAGGAAAGCAGAGGAAGACAGCCCAAGTATCTGGGACCTTGTCACCCATAAAGGAGTTGTGTTCTTGGTTCCTGGCTCCTGGTTTTGGCCTACCACAAACCTGCATATGGCAGCCATTTGGGGGGCAGGCAGTAGGTGGAAAGCCTCTTTCTTCATCTTTCCCTCTATTTCTGACACTCTTACTTTAAAATAAGTCAGTTTTTGAAAAGAAGACTAGAGATAACATTTATATAACAAGGAAATACCAGATGAGTAATTGCGGAAGAGTTGAGATTGAGGATGGCTGGAGACTGCTGAATGACAAATTGTTATATTCATTATAATAGACATGTAATGGTATGTCATTGTTTTAATGTTTATTTCTCTATCTTGGGCATCTTTTCATATGCCTATTTGGCTATGCCTATATTCCTGTTTTGTGGACTGCCTGTTTAATTTCCTGCCCATTTTTTAGTTAGATCACTTGTTATCTATTATATGGTTGTTAGAATTGTTTACATAGAGAGTTCTGGATGGACATCTTGTCAGATACAAATTTTGTTACTATTCTTAGTCAGTGGCTTGCCTTTTCCTTTTCTTAGTATTGTATTTTGAAGAGCGGACATTTTGATTTTGGTGAAGTCCAAATTGTCAGTTGCTTTCTTTGGTTGCTAACATGAGTTTTGTGAGTTTTACAGGGAGAGGATTTGACAACCTGACTTCTGTCCACCTTGCACGGCATACTCCTACAGGAACACTGGTAACCATAAAAATTACCAATCTGGAGAACTGCACTGAAGAACGCCTAAAAGCTTTACAGGTGACCAGAGGAAGAAAATGATATGTGTTCTGTTTGATGGGGTTACACCTGTAAGAATTCCACCCTCCCCCTTTCTGTTAGGAAAGGTGGCTTTCTTTGTTCTGATTAACATGAAGTTACAGAATTGCAAAGGATCCTTGGAAGGCAGATCCGGTGTGGGAAAGAGCAAATGCATTTGAACTTCGGAATCTGCTATTCATTCCTTCAAAGGAGCATCGTGCTCTCAGGGCTGGTTTGGTGACTGAGAGCATCCCTTGTGAACCCAAGCACAACTAGTCATGGAGGGAAAAAGCAAGCAACGAAGGCATTGCCTTTACATTCAGCAAAGCAGACTGGGCATCTGAGTCGATATATTTTTTTAAGTCAATATATTTTGATAAAAATGCATTTCAGGTACATTATAGTGCTATTTTCATTATTATCTATCATTTCTCTAGAATGGGGCGAAGAATTTTGCTGTGACATTCTGATTTCTGAAATATTTATATGCACATGTGTATTCCATAGAAAAAGAAGGGGCACTTGAAAAAACTGTACTAAAGCTGGCGGTCATTTCTCTTGTGATGGGCTGCTGGCTGTGATTTTTATGCTCAGATGGCTTGTGTTCTAAAAGTGTTCTTTTTTTAACAAGAACATGGTGTAGTTCCTGAGATTGTGACCTCTGGAGTCAGAGCAAGTTCCCCTCCCTCTTGTACTCCTCTAGCTGACAACGTGCTGGGTGGGAGCTGTTTCCCAGGTATTGTCTTCTGTTAGCTGGGGCTCCCTTTATGCTCAGATGGCTTGTGTTCTAAAAGTGTTCTTTTTTTAACAAGAACATGGTGTAGTTCCTGAGATTGTGACCTCTGGAGTCAGAGCAAGTTCCCCTCCCTCTTGTACTCCTCTAGCTGACAACGTGCTGGGTGGGAGCTGTTTCCCAGGTATTGTCTTCTGTTAGCTGGGGCTCCCTGTGCCACAGGCACGTGGAGTGGCTGTGACGTTTATGGAGAAGCAAGCACCAAGAATGGGGCTTTGCACTATTTCTGTCCCTTGAGTAGCAGCCTCCACCAGTGCTATTACCTTCATCATAAGAGAAATGGTGATTCTGAATGTCTGGTCTCTTGTTTGTTTATCCCAGAAAGGGCTGATCCTGTCCCACCTCTTCCGACACCCCAACATTACAACCTACTGGACCGTTTTCACTGTTGGCAGCTGGCTCTGGGTTATTTCTCCATTTATGGCCTATGGTAAGAAAACTGATTTTAAAGTAAAATGACATCATTTTAGTGTAGATACTATTAGAAAGAGGAGAGAGAGCTTAGGTGTAAGATGCACTCTGTTTAAGTGAAAAGCCTCATGGCTGATACTAGATTTTATGAGATTATTTCTGCATCTGATTCATGTTGAATTTTCCTCTCAGAAGAAAGTCCAAGAGGCATGCTGATCGATGGGACTACTTCCAGTGCTTCTCCAAGAATCCCCTGCCCCCACACAGGCTGCTGCTTCCCTTCAGGTTCCTTGCCGTCTCTCAGTGGAGACCTGCTGGAACCCAGCAGACAGCAGCAGTTATGCAGAGCCGTGAACTCCAGGGAGCCTCTCCATGTGCCTCCTGAGGGCAAGGATCATTCATGTGCTTCCCATTTGGGAGATCCCATGAATTCACATTGTAGTACCGAACACAAAATAGTAATCAGGAAGTGCTTGGAATGAATAAGTGAATAGGTTCTAGAGCTTTGATTTTTCAAAACATCTTTTTTGTGACTTAAGTCTGTATTTTAAAAAATACACATACACATACATACATACCTAGGTATGTGTTTTCACTAATTTTGAAAAATCGGTAATTCTTTCATAATTTTTAGAGCATCATTAGGAAAAAATGTTCCTAAGATTCTTGAAGGAAAGTTACCTTCACCTGGGAAAGTAGCTAGGCTCTAAAAAGTAACAGGTGTGTGTGTGTGCACGCACGCGAGTATTTAAACAGAATATTTAAAACATGGCTGAACCAAAAGCACCTTTGCTGTTCATCTAAGGATTTCAAGGGTTTCTTTTAGGTTCAGCAAGTCACCTCTTGAAGACTTACTTCCCTGAAGGAATGAGTGAACCTCTAATAAGAAACATTCTCTTTGGAGCAGTCAGAGGGCTGAACTACCTGCACCAAAATGGCTGCATTCATAGGTATTTATTTATTGGTATTGTACAGTATGAAAGTGCTGTGCTTGGTGCTGGAGTACAGCACCTGCGCACTTCAGCTCGGGCTGTCTCATGAAGATGGAAGAGTCTGTGCGTTCAGAGTGCAATGCAGGGAGTGGGATCCTAATTAGCAGGCTGGGCAGGGGGTGGACTGGAGTGGGTGGAGCATGTTTTCTTTTTTAAGCAAATAAAAAGTTTGTCTGCTTGCCAGTTTAGAGCATGTTTGTATTGTGAATAGATTGCAATTCAATTTTTTCATGATTTCCTAAATATTTTGCAGTACCTTGAGATTATGAAACTAATTGTCAATATCCTTGATACCAAACTGTAAATGCAGAAGTAACTGACTGAATGTGACACCTGCTGTTTTGGCATACACTGGGATTTTGTTTTGTCTTTTAATCAAGTCACTTTCAAATGAACCTTTTTTTAAATTTTATTGTTTTGATCTCCTCAGAGCTTTCGTTCATACTCTTTGTTTGCTTATTTTAACCAGCATTCTGGTTAACTGACAGTTTCAACGGCCTAGATCCTATGACTTGAGGTTTTATGATATATTATTCATTGACCATCCATTAGTTTCCACATTCAGTATTTTGGATGAAAAAATAATGGTAATCTTTCTATTGCCGAAAGGAAAATTTTACATAAAATATCTTTGTAAGTGCTATGCCAGGAGAGGCTGTCTTTTATTGAGTAGTACTGTGTTTAACATTCAGTTACAATCCTAGTGTTCAAGTAATACTTATTTTTCTTGGAATTTTCCTAAGTGCTTTGCAATAGCATCTCAAATAGTAAGGCTGAAAATTTGATTCTATTCCTTGTTTGAAAAACTATCACTTCCAACATGTAGCTTTCTACAATATTGTTTTAGTGCTGTGTTAAGTAACTGAGTGAGTTCTTTCACTCCCTGTATTCGTGGCAGTGTGTATCTCATGGCTGGTTCTTAAAGGGTATTTAGTTTCCAAGAGAATACATGGATTTGTCCTGACCATGTTTTTACGTTCTTCCTGGGCCACGTTCCCAGTACTTAGGATTGTTTCTTTTTGTTCTAGGAGTATTAAAGCCAGCCATATTCTCATTTCTGGTGATGGCCTGGTGACACTCTCTGGCCTGTCCCATCTGCATAGTTTGATTAAACACGGACAGAGGCATAGGGCTGTGTTTGATTTTCCACAGTTCAGCACGTCAGTGCAGCCGTGGCTGAGTCCAGAACTACTGAGACAGGTCAGGTGTGGCCGTTGCATTGGGTTGTCTGTGCGTCTCAAGTGTCTTTTGAGTCTGACTGAAGGACAGTTGTGTTTTTATATTTGGATTGGTGAATGGCCTCCTGCAAGACTTTTTTCTCTTGTCAAAATGATGTTAGGAATTCTAAATTGCATATCATATATTAAGTGATTATTATGGGACTTTCTCCCCCTTATTGTTTACCATCCTTTATCAAAAAGAACACACACATAACTTTATGCTTACTTATTGCCACTAAAAACATTAAATCAATTGTATTCTACAGGATCTACATGGATATAATGTGAAGTCAGATATTTACAGTGTTGGCATTACAGCATGTGAACTAGCCAGTGGGCAGGTACCTTTCCAGGATATGCATAGAACTCAGGTACGTGCCACTGAAATTCCTGACCCCCTGGCCTTTTGTAAGATCTCTTCCATTCTAGATCATTGCTATTAAATATATATGCTCTAGACTGAGAAGCTTTATTGTTAGTATATTTGTTTTGATATTTTGCCTACACAGAGTTGACAGAAATTCTTCTTTTAGATGCTCTTACAGAAGCTGAAAGGTCCTCCTTACAGCCCATTGGATACCAGCATTTTCCTTCAGTCAGACTCCAGAATGAAAAAATCACGATCTGGTATAGATTCTGGGATTGGAGAAAGTGTACTTGCCTCTAGTGGGACTCACACTGTAAATAGTGACCGATCGCACACGCCATCCTCAAAAACCTTCTCTCCTGCTTTCTTCAGCTTGGTACAACTCTGTTTGCAACAAGATCCTGAGAAAAGGTAATACTGGCCACTTTAAATAGCAGATGTATGTTTTATACCTTACAGAAGCTTTGTCATATTTCCCTTCCCACAAGATTGAAATGTTTTATCTTTTGACCAAAAATGGAAGCTTAATCTACAAAATATCAATGCTAAGTGGGTGGGGGTGGGAGGGTAGTAGAGGCTGTGGCAGGGAGAAGTCAGTGTTGTAGAGTAGCGGGTAGCATCTCATTTGAGCATTGGTTCATGTCCCAGGTGCTCCAATTCCATGACGGCTCTCTGCTGATAAGTCTGGGAAAGGCAGTGAAAGCCTGGGTGCCTAGGTACCAGCCACCCATGTCGGAGCCCCAGATGAAGTTCCTGGCTTCTGCCTGGCCTGGCTCTGGCTGTTGCAGCCATCTTGGGAGTGAACATGCAGATGGCAAATCTCTCTTTCCTTCTGTACATAACTCTTTCAAATAAATGATTTTTTAAAAATAAAAACAACAAATAGAGTCAGTAGGCAAATGGAAAAATGACCACCACCAGTTCAACATCAGAAAAATTGGTTTCCAGTCTCAGCTTTACTGTTTCCAAGCCAAGTCTAGCCTTATTAGAATCAGTTGCTTTTTGAATATTAATGGTTGCATTTATAGTAATACATTTTAGAAACTGCTAAGCAATATTGAAATGTAAGTAGCCGCTTTTATAGTAATATAAATGATCACTATAGGTAACTATGTGTTAGCATCAGTATTTCAGAAACAACATGTGTCTTAATTATCATTTTTAACCTCAAAGTGCCTGGTATAGCTCATTGTAAATAGTGAATGTCCAATAAATATTTAGTATAATTAATATTAATTGAAGGACAGTTCTAGGATTTGTTGTTTCCATTAGATAAAGGTGGAGCTAAGATTTGAGCTTCTGACATAGCTCCTAACACTTTCTACTATATTATAGTGTTATGGCTGTTTTATAGAGCTAACAATTTCTGCTATATTATACATTCTAATCTGATTGTTTCTCATAACTTTTCTTTTTAATTTCAGGCCATCAGCAAGTAGTTTATTGTCCCATGTATTCTTCAAACAGGTGAGCTAATCTATCATCTATTGTCTAGATAGTTTCAAATTTTACTAAAAAGACATTTTATTTTGTTGGTTTATTGGGATACTTTGGTTATCAAGATTCTTACTAATAACTTATAAAAATAACGTTAAGAAACAGAAAACCTTTCGGCGGTTTAACAATGGGATTTCTAAAAGATTTGCATTTTTTAAAACAAAGTAAGTGAAAATAAACTAGACCATCATCACATGTCACTATATGCTCAGTCTTAATTTTGACTGGTGACTTTGTCTACATTGGCTAGAATGATAAAAGTCCATTTTCTGGCTTTTCTAACTCTTTCCAGGTGATGAGCAACAAAGGCATTTTTGGGGAAAATACTGAAAAACAGCATAAAGACTTCAAACACAATTTCTTTAAAAGTTATGTATTGCTAATAAGTCTGATGTATTAAATTTACCAACAGCCTCATTTTGGATTTCTTTAATAGATGAAGGAAGAAAGCCAGGACTCCATACTGTCACTGCTGCCTCCTGCTTATAACAAGCCATCGATGGCACTGCCTCCAGTGCTACCTTGGACCGAGCCAGAATGTGATTTTCCTGACGACAAAGATTCAGACTGGGAATTCTAGGGCCACCAAATCACCTTATGCCCTGTATACTTGACACTGTCTTCTTGCTGCTTTTTATTCTGTATTGCTAGGTACAAATACCAGAGTTATACTTGAAAATACAGTTGGTGCACTGGAGAATCTCATTTAAAGCCACTCTGCTCACAGCGAGACAGGTGGGCGTGAGTGGATAGCCTCTCTGTCTAGCTCAGTGTGCTCTCACAACTCCAGGGAAACATCCAGATGATTCATCTAGCAACCATTAGTGTCACTGAGTCTTTAGAAATGTCCCCAAGCTGTGACTAACTCATTTCTATCCTTCTGTAGTTTTTGAGCCAATAAACTTCTGCAGCATTTCACTCTCCTCTTGGGCTTCAGCCCTTGTAGGACAGTGCTTCCAGGTACATCCTGTTTTTCTTCCAGGTCCTCTAGCCTTTTTCATCAGTTTTTGTTATAACAGGCTAGTCTACCTTGGCACCAAACCCTTTTTTGGAGAAGAGAAAATATTTGTATTTTCCCTTTTTCTATTAATACTTATGGTAATATCAAACTGAGCCTCACTCAAAATAAATGATTCACTTGAAATACATAGAGAATTTGTAATTTGTTTTTTCTTAAAAAAGAAGAGAGCTAATTAGGGCACTCTCTTTGATTTTACCTATGTAAATTATACATGCTAAATTCATGCCCCCTGTGGGAGCTCAATAAAAGTTTATTGACTTGAGTTTATGCTTTTATTTTCCTTGTGTGATTTTGCAAAGATCAAACACAAATTCTACATGTGTTTTTTTGAAGAAACCATTTCCAAGTGAACTTGCAACTTTCAAGAGACAGCTGAGTACTTGGTTCAGTGAAGGCACGCGTTTCAGTCATTTACATGATCATTGCCTCTGTAGGACATTAAACAGAAGAACACAGAGGTCTGAATTAGTGCTAATCCATTATTAGCAAGAGAGGCCATGTCCCTCAGAAAGAGCATGGTGGGTAAGCTGTGGCTAATTGGAACTTACCTGACTTTCTTATTCTGTACATACTTACAGGCAGTCTACAAATTAACAGGCAATTGAATACAATCCTTTCCATGTTCATTGGCTAGATCTCCCCAAGATGTGGGTTTGGGTTACTCTACCAAGCAAGCCAAGAAGAGCTGCCAAGGTGAAAGTGAATCCAGAATGGGTGGTGGAGGAGACGAGGTACAGGACTAACGGAGACTTTGAGAGTACCCACAGTGGTCAGGGCTGCGCCTCTCTCCCTCAGCCAGAGAAACCCACTGTGGAAGCCATGAAACGGTGCCTCAGCTCTCTGGCTGTGGCCTGGGAAGTATAATGTGTGCACATAAAGAAATGGATTCATGGTAAGCAGCTGGAAGTGTGGAGCCTGATAAGTCCCAAGGTCTGCACGCTAGAGACCCAGGAAAACAGAGTACAGCTCTAGTCCAGCAGCCATGAACTCAAGACAGAAGAGCCCATTTCTCAGCTTGAGTCCAAAGGCAGGGAAAAATTCAAACCAAGTCAGGAGGAGGAATTCTCCGACTTAAAGGGCTTTTGTTCTGTCTTTCCTCTGATTGGGTGTACTCCACCCCCATTGGGGAGGGCTATCTCCTACAGGAACACCCAGAATAATGTTCAGATAACTGAGTGCCCTGTAGCCCAGCAGACACATAAAAGCAGCCAGTCTAGTGGATATTATAATCCATGGAGCACCTCTGCCTGTTTAGCTTTCATACCATAGGTGCCTCTCTTGCAATATTAACTTCCCATGCCTGGTGTTAGAGATTACCACAAACTCAGTGGCTTAAAGCTACATCAGTTATGTACAGTTCAGAAGCTCCAAACTCTGAACTGGATCTCAGCAACATAAGGCACTGGCATTCCTTCTGGGAGGTTTGGAGAAACCCATTGTCCTGCTCTTTTCAGATTATGCTCCTCCCACAGCACATGGCCCTCTGTCAGCCTTCCAGGTCAGCACTGTTGGACTCAGCTCTTGTATTGCCATTTGCCTGATTCTCTCTTCCAGTTGCTTCTTCTATTTGATTAAATTGGACGTAGTCAAATAATGCAGAATACTCTCCCTGTGTTCAGTCACTTGATAAGCAAATCTAATGTCCCCTAGCTATTTAACCTAACGTACCTGCAAGTTCAGGAAATTAGGATTTAGGCATCTTTGGGGACGGGGAGTCATTATTCTGCCTATCAACCTTGCCTCCTTCTACTTCCTGCCAGGAAGGATGGCAAGTCAGGCCCACTCCTGGGTTCTGATGATGAATGGCTTTTATTGAAGTTCTCCCCATGGGCTCTAACAAGAAAAAGAAGAACCCCACAGTCCAAGATATTTCCTACTCCACCTTCTACCCGCAATGTTGAGACCCACATCACAGGTGACAGTTCTCCCAGCCATCTCCAATTTGCTCCCTACTTATTCTCACAGGCTTCCCTTTCCTCCCCCAAATCATCATCATCTCTTTGCATGTGGTGCTAGCCTCTGAATGTGACAAATTACCACAAAAGGTGAGAATAAATAACACAAGATAGCCTTATAGTTCCAGAGTTCAGAGGTTTCAATGGGTGGCAGGGTGATGTTCCTTCTGGAGGCTGTGGGGAGATAGTTTCTTGCCTCTTCCAGTTTCCAGCAGCACCCTATGTCTCCAGTTCTTACACAGCTTCACTGCAACTTCTGCTTCTGCGCTCACGTCTCCCTTCTCTGACGCTGACCCTTGATCCTTTCCTCTTACGAACCCTTGTGACCATAGCGTGCCCACCCAGACAATCCCCCCCTGTGGGATTCTTCATCTTGGTTTCACTGAGTGAGGTGACAATTACAGGTTTTTGGGATTGGAACGTGGATATGCTTGGGAGCCACCATTCTGACTACTGCATTGTCTAATTTCATCTTGGTGCCACCTTTCAGACAACTCAAACCAGCACAATCATTTTAGCTAAAATACCTTCCTAAATCACATATTCAACCCTTTATTACTTAGTGTTTATGTCCCCAATGTGCTGTTGACTACATGCCTTATTAACAAGTAACTTTTAAGTGGTTGGAAAAGTTGTCTCACATAAAGTTTAACAAATGTTCAAGGATTCTTCTTCAAATAAATTGAGTTGAAAAAATGATTGAAAATTTAAGAGATTTCCACAGTAGGAGAATTTTAAATCTTTAAGTGTCACAAGATCGCTGTTAGAACTAGTGAGGAAAGGGATTTCAGTTTCCACCCAGGAAATATTTTCTCCTTTACTGCATGCAGATCAGATAAATGATTTTCTTTGTAAGTACAATCAGTCAATTACCTAAGAGCTACCAAATCCATTTCTCCGCAGTTTCCTTGTTGCTTCTCATGAATCAGATTTCCCTCACAGCCCCATTCTTGAGTTTCCAGGGAGGCCATGGTGGAGGATCAGAAAGCAGGAAAAGAAAGCAGCAGCCTGAGGTTCCTCACCCTGTGCTCCATTCTCTGATCTCTTCTGTTGTCCCTGGGGTGGGTGTTTCTCTTCCTTGTCTTCTGCCTTCTAGGCTCTGGTTGTAGCCCTTACTGCCACTGCTCCTGCCACCTCCATGGTGACAGCACTTCCTGCTCTTGCTAATTTCAGGGTTGGCTCACCATCCCCTTGGCTTCTTAGCGTTGGTTTCATTGCCTAAATCTAGCTTCTTGTACTTCTTCGGCTGCAAAAATCTAGAATTGTTTGTGTTCTCCTGGTTATACTCTGATTAAGTACACATGCTCCCAGACTTAAAGTAGAATTATGTACAGTGAACTCACTGTAAATGGAGAGGCTCATGGAAAGGCATCACTGTCTGCTACCAGACCCCACAGCTTAGTGACACGGTACACTGCAGAATATCCACTGACAATCCCTTTGAGTGCCAGGCTGCCTGGGCGTGTGCCTACTGGTGCTGCCATTGCTGCTGCTGCCGCTGCCTGGTGTCACAGGACAGGATCTTACAGGGTATTCACTAACCCCAGAAGAGATCACAATTCAAAATCTAAATGACAGCTTCTACCATTAGGATATCACTTCAATGCCCGAGCAAATTCAAAAATCTTAAGTTCAACCCCTGTAGTCCCAGGACCATCATGTATGATAACAAATTTGAGCATAACTAGAAAGTCTTGGTACCTGTAAAAAGCACCACTACCCTGAGTTATAACGTTGAAAGAATGACTAGGAATTGTCTATCGGCCAATTCAATTTGAATCTCCTGGTCTTGCTGACTCGTCAAGAACTCTGTCTATTATAGTTTTTGCTTGTCAAGTGTGGAATAAAATGCAACAAGAGCCAAAGTTTGGTGACTTCAGAGTTTTTTTCAAGTGAGTTAGAAAGTTATTCCAGGGGAATAGATGGTTCAGGGTTAAATGTTATAATTTATAAGTGTTAAGAAGAGATAATATCAGACGATGTTAAAATCACTAGAACTTCTTTAGGCCCAGAAGATTACAGGCTGTAAAACCATGAATATAACAAGCTGAAGAGTTAAAATGTACTCATAGCAAAACTCTAAATACAGATGACTGCAAAAAGAGAACCCAAAAACTGGGTAGAGAGGGAGAAATTAGAATTTAGCAGAAGTTGTGGGACTCAGAGATAATAGTGAGGGGGAGAAGTTGGAAACAAAATGCATCTGAGCTGAACATATATTGCTGGGTTTGCTTCTGAAGGCTTATAAACAAACACGCATTTACATAAAATGTGCTCATTTCTCATTTTAATCAAAACAAAATGGTTCTAGCAAGATGAAACTGGGATGCTGCCTTCTATCACACGTGAGGACAGAACTCCAAACCACATTGCTGATGGAGAAATGATGTTCTGACTGTAGGTCTCACATTTCATTTTGAATTGTTTAGCACTTGGATAATATCACAAATGAGCGAACATTTTTCAATATCCTCTTTTAATTTTTTAGGGGGCTGCAGTTTACGTATTTCATAATCTAGGGTTGTATCATTTATACGAACTAGGCCTGTTGAGACCATTCGAGGGCTTGTGAATCTTGCAGGGTAGTTTTCTTGTCGTTTGCTTTGCTCTGGCGCAGTATATGGCCTTGCAGAGTGTTTTATCTGATTATGACTGTCATCTGGGCTGTTTCCTGAAAGCCTTGCTCTTGATTTTGCTTTGGTCAGATGCTTAAAAGAGGTCACAGGTAAATCCTCAAATTTATCCGAACAATCCTAAGTATTAAGATAAAAGATTGGCTTAGTAAGTTACATTTTCTAAAAGTACATTTTACATCCACATGGTCTAAAATTTCCAAGACAAAGAATGAATGCACTGAAAACTTCTCCAAATTCAAATCCTACCTCTGTAGCTTTTCATTAGGAAACTGCCGTATGAACTGTGCATGGAGCAGGCATTTGGCGCGTGGTTAAGATGCCTCTGGGAATGCCCACATCCATATCGGACTGCATAGGTTCCAGTTCTGCCTTGCTCCCAGTCCCAACTTTCTGCTAATGTGTGACCTGAAGGCAGCAGGTTATGGCTCAAGTACTTGAGTCCCTGAAACCCATGTGTGAGACCGATTGAGTTCTCTGATGTCAATTTCACCAAAGAAAAGTACAGTGGCACTTGTTAACAGGGGGAAATAATATCTTCTTTACCCATTCTCAGGATAAGGACATGGAATCCTACATGACCTGCTAACATTTTACTTAAACACAATTTCAGCATTTGAAAAACTAACACTAGAGAGTCCACTTGTCTAAAGGAAATTTTAAAAAGTCTTTCCTTTCCAAAAGCAATGAGCCCATATTGCCTCCTTTACCTAATATGTATGTACACACACACATACACAGAATCATTGGCTCAATGCTAAATTACTAAATCTATGAAAACTCCAAAGTTCAGAGAACAAGCTATGCTAATATTTACTCTGCCATTACATAGCTAATATAATATTTAGCTATATATCATATACCATAGATACCTAGACAATATTTTTCCTGCCACTATAAAGCTGAAAACTTTGTGGAAAACAAATGCCAAACAACTATTCTGACATTATATTTATTCTCAGTCTCAAAGACAGAATTATACATATAAAACTATCAATTTAATATCAGCCTTGGAACTTACATAAGTTTTCCCAAAGGTTGGTCATGCCTGTCATATATACTAACAGCCATGTTCCAGAAAATTAAGGTAAGCCCCTTCCATTCCTAGAGTTTAACTTTGCTTTTAGAGAGGCTGGTGTTCATGATATAGTCCCTTAAGTCTCTGCATGCAACAGCCACATCCAATACGGTTGCCAGTTTGCATCCTAGTTGCTCCATTTCCAATTCAGCTCCCTGCTGGTGGTTGGGCAAATGCAGCAGAATATGGTCCAAATAATTAGGCACCTGACAACCACAAGGCACACCCGGTTTCCACCTGGCCATTAAAGCCATCTGGGAGTGACCCAGCAGAGGGAAGCTCTCTTGAGCTCTATGTCTTCCTCTCTCATTCTGTAATTCTGCCTTTCAAATAAATAAATAAATCTTTTAAGAAAAAATAGCTTATAAAAATAGTTTATAAACTCTAGTAAAGTCCCTTACTAATTATTTAATGCTAATATTAAAGATAGATTTGATTTCCCATTTCTTAGCACAAGAAATAGGAGAAAGGTGATGGTGAAATAAAAAGACTTAAGGCTAAATTAAAATTCAATAATTTGAAAAACTGTAAAGTTTTCACCTCTAGAACTCTTAGCAGAGTGAGATGCATATCCAGTTTCATATTTGTTTACTAAAACTCAAATAATTCAGCTATTTGAAAGAAAATTATACAAGTATCCTTGTATTCTGTGTTCCCTCAGCAGATGGCCACTGGTAGAGGGGGTATGAGTTCTGGCTGCTACCAGCAACTGGTTGACATCAACCAGGGGTACCATCCAGCCCATCTTTCATGCCAGGGAGGACTGCCCTTCCTCGGGCTGTCGCAGGAGCTGCTAAGCAGAAAGGATTCCTTTTTCTAACTCATACCCCAGGGAGGGTGCCCTTTATCCATGTTAATGATGGGCATAAACATTCTTCCTGGTTCTGTGATTATACTTTGAATCAGGCAGAATGATTACTTCAATTTCTGGGAAAAACTTTCAACTTGGAAGTTTGTATCTGGGGGGCAATTAAAATTACAACATGTAGACATATGAGAGTAATTCGAAAAGTTCCTGGAAAATAGCATTAAAGCAAAGTCGGGCAGATGTTTGGCCTGGCAGCTAATACTCCTGTTTCCTACTGGAGTGACTAACTCCAGCTCCTGACATTAGCTTCCAGTTAGTGCAAACCCTTGGAGGAAGCAAGTGACAGCTCAAATAATTGGGTTCCTGTCACCCATGGAGACATAGATTAATTCCCAAACATTGCAGGTATTTGGGGAGTAGAATAGTATATATGATCTCTCTCTCTCTCTCTCTCTGTCTGTCTCACTCTAATTTTAAAAACAGGTTAAACTTATTTTGGTGTAATAAAATTTTGAAATCCATGTATATATAAGGAGCATCTGAAAAGGTCATGGACATGCAAAAACTGTATGCAGAGATTTTTTTTTTAAAGTCTGCACTTATCTTTTGATGCATTTTGTCACAAAATTTTAAAAGTATCCTCATATACCCTAAAATAAATTACAGAAGTTTGCCAAATGCAGCAGTAGAAGACTGAGAAAAATATTATTACATGTATAGTTCTTCTTGCAGTCCAATGAAGTACTGTTCTTGGAACGGATTTCTTTAGATGAATTCTTGTGGTGGGCAGTGTGGTGGGCACTAACCTACCTATCCTATTAAATGGCTTTTTTGTCTTGGGATGGTCTGTTTCTTTTGGGACCTTGGGTTTTAGATTTTCTCTCTTTAGTACTTCAGGGAAGAAGGATGAGTTTGAGTTTTTCTTATCTTCTATTATCATAAACAGCTGTGATTGAGGGATCCTGGCATATTTTTCACTGAAGAGAAAACCTGAGTTCAAATAAAGACTCTGTATGTCTTTATTATATTGTGCAAATGTTACTAAATGTTTTTTATTGTTGTTGTTATTTCCTTTTAATCTCTGGCAGTACTGTTCTTCTTGGTAGGGTTTCTCCCCAGCTTCTGAATTGCAATAGCCAAGTGTATTGGTCTGCCACAAAGGGAAGGGGAATCTGTGTGACTGTCTGTCATCTTCTCTTGGTATTTTGCAGTTAGGGATACTTGGGTGTGGTGACAATACTGCTTCAGGTCGTTCCTGAACAGTCAGTTTATAAATGTTAACATGCTCCTTTTTCCCAAGCACTTTCATTTTCCTGTCCAAGCAAGCTTTTGGTTGAGTCATTTTGCATTTTCCAGTCCAACCATTCGAGTCTTGACTCTCTGTTTTACAAAAAGAATTGTCAGCTCTAGGAAACTGTTCAAAACCACATTCTTCTCTGGGTTTCTTAAACAACATATCTGTAAGTCTTTCTGATGACTTATTTAATGGGATTGCCTGGGTATTTTTGTTGGAAGAAGGCTGTATTTTTATTAAATCTGGTGTTTTACCTTCCGCTCTAGGGTAGCAACTATTTTGTTCCATGATTGTCGGATTTTTCTGTAAACTCTGTAAGCAAAAATAGCCACCTTCTTCTCTTTTGACCAACTCTGTTTCTACACATTGATCCTTAGGAGCCTTCTGTAGTGTGGACTTTGGAACAGTTTTTGAATATTTGCTCTCCTTTTCTGAATGTTCCTCCATCAAGTGATGCTCATCCCTAATTGGTAAGTTGGACTTTATGCATTTCAGTGGCGTGCAGCTTGAATTAAGCAAATGTAAATGATGGCTGATGTGCTCTAACTGCCTTTCTGTCATTAATCCTGCTTTTGAAAGTTTCTCTATAAAAAGACTCTGGAGGTGCTTGCTTAATTCAGCTTTTAGACTTACTAATTCATTTTCTGATAAAGCCAAAAGGTAGTTTTGAAGAGATTTATTTAAGGGATATTTCATTTTTATTTCAGGCCTTCTACCAAAACTCCCACTTGCAAGTTCTTCTCTTAACTCATGATAGGATATAGAAGTATTTCTAGTTCTCAGAGAAGATACGTTACTGTGTATGGTCTCAGGCTCTGCCTCATTAAATAAACTGCTCTCTGAAAGGTTTCTTAGGAAGTAGTTTTGGAGAATTTCATTTAAAAAGGATCTTAGCTTTATTTCTAGATGTTTATCTATGAAGTGATGATTAAAGTTATTTACAAAAGACATGATTTCCCTTACAGCTTCAGAGTATTTTTCCTGGAAAATGTTATGCCCATTTAGGTCAGCTTTCTCATTCATCAAATGCAAGTTTTGATAGATTGTTGGTAAGTCCTCCTTGGCAATATGTCCTGCTTCTGACAGCCTTTCTACAAGGTAATGCTGGATATGTTTACTTAATTCCGACTTTAAATTTTTCACTTCTGACTCTGAGAGTTCTTCCAGAAACACACGCAGCTTTGGACTCAAAATGGGTTTTCTGTGCAATGTGTCCACATTATTCAAACTCCCTTGGATTTCTTCAAGACGGTCTGTATGGTTGGGAATATCACGTTGAATTAATTGTTCCAATTCTTTCTCTGGCTGTCTTCTCCTTTGAGACTGATTATGTGTGAAAAAGGCTTTCAAGATGCTTCTCAGAAAGGATTTTAACATCCCTACATCAGACTCATCAAGCTTACCCATTAGAAAAGAGTTACTGAAGGTTTCTAAAACAGAATTTAGATCATGTTCTTTTATGTCAAGCCTGTGGCCATTACTTGGGGAAACTGGCTTCTTCTCTGGTATCCAATCATGTGCTGAATGTGGTGGGGACTTCTTTTGACCTTCCTCTATAAATTCAACTCCACCGAAAAAAACAGCAGCATCATGGGGATGGGTGGGAGTGTTCTGCCTTGTGAGAAGTTCTGGTTTGCTTTTGACTTCTGGATAATCCTCTGTGGGATGCTTCGGCTCTTCTGGAAGCCCTGTCTCTGTTCCCAGCAAGGACCCATTCTGGCACTCTTTCTCTAATTCTATCACTTTGATTAGCCCATATTCTAAAAGAGTCTCTACAGGAAATGCCTGAATTATCTGGCTTACCACCGATTTGGACTGTGGCAATTCTGTTTCATCATTTTCTTCTCCAAAGTGAAACAGAACACGGGAAGATAAGCTTTTGCCCCATGGAGTGGATAGTTCATCCTGCAGGTGCATCTGTGGCTCACTCGACTCTGACACTCCTAGCTTCAGATGTGAGAGGGGTGCCATGAATATTTGCTTTATCACACAGTCAGGCACAGAGCCAACCAAAGTTGATTTGCAGCTTGATGTTTTGTTTATTAAATGTTTCTTTTTGAAACGACACTTTTTATTCATTGGAGAATCTGTTTCATCAGCCTCTGAGAATTTTTCAGACATGGATTCTGCTACCTCTGAAGATTTTCCTGCTCCACTTCCTGAAAGAAAATCTGTGGGAACATTTTTAATTACTTGACTTAAAAGAGACTTTGATTTTGAAACATCTTTTTCTGAAAGCCAGCTATGTGAATCTTGGATTTTTTCAAATACTCTGTCTCCCACACTCTTTGCTGGTTCATTGGGGATGCTTAGATGTGGGGAATCACTTTTCTTTGTTGCTTCAGAGTTTACGGGAACTTCTAGATTAGCAAATAACTTGTCTGAAAGGTCTTGTAGATTTTTACTTAAAACTGACTTGAGTGCCATTGATTGTCTTAAGTTTTCTATGTGGGAAGTGGGACTTAATGACTTTGAGAGGTGACACTTATTTATATTTTGAATAAATGATGATTCTCTTTTGAAATTTGGTAAAGATCCATTTAATAGTGTTTCCTTTGGCTTATTTTTATTGTCTAACGTCTTCATTCTGATGAGACCAGGATTATGAGCTAACCTATTCTTATTGTCTAAAGTCTTTATTGAGTTGACAGTAGGATCATGAGCTAATTTATCCTTAGTGTCTGATGTCTTTACTGGGTTGACAGTAGGATCAGAGGCTAACTTTCCCATAGTGTAGAAAGTCTTCACTGTGACATTAGGGTCAGAGCAGGGTTTCATAGTAGGTTCTGCAGCTTTTGAATATGTTGGATAAGGAGGGTCTTGGTCTTCATGTTCTATCACTTCTGTACTTAAGCTGTTTTTAACTTCATATATCTCTTTGTCTTTCTTTATACTGTCTGACATGCTGTCATTTATGTTCCTTAGAAAAGGATCAAAACGGCCCAGGTGGAATTTCTGAAATTGCAAAAATAATATCTGTAATATTTTCAATTTATAAGAAATTTTCTAGTTAGTTTTCTTTGATTATAAATGTTAGTTTGTCTGTTCATCTTTCATCTCACTACAAAGGGAGAACACCTACCTTGATGCATTTTAAATAGTGAAAATTAGGATAATATTTTATTTGATGCAAATTACTCAAATTCTTCATTCTGATTCTACTTTTTAAATGCTTAAAAGCCACCCAATTAATAGATTCTTTTAACAACTATTTCTAGTGTCAGTTGCATTTGTTTAGAAAGTGGTTAATAGCAGGATGTAATTCTTAGCCATATATTTAACATTTTTGAGGCAATGTGGGGATTTTTAATACACACAGACACACACCTGCATACAAATGTAGACAGATTGAAAGATAGATCCAATTTAAAGTATCATAAATATTCAAAGACTGAAGAGTCTAGATCACTAGCTTTTAAATTTGAGTTTCAACAATGACAATGGTTCCTTATCCCAGTTCTTATCATGTTACAATAGAGTTTTGTTTTTTGATGATTCAGAATAAGCTAAAAAAAATCTCCAATTATAGTGAAATCTCAGTTTAATATCCATACGTAATTTTGTAGTTTTGGTACCAGATTATTCTATTATTGAGACTTTAAAAATTAAAATCTCTTATCACAGCCTCTTGTTCAAAAAATGCCTGCTTTATCCAAGCAAATGAAATAAAAAATAGGAAATACCCAAACACTTTACTTTATTTCAACTTAATAATTCAAAGTACTTTCTAACAAATACAATTTATTATAACTGGTCTTCAAATGCTAGTGAGTACTCAAGTGACACATTAAGAATTACTTGGAATTCTGTGCATTTTGTTTTTTGTTATTGTGAAAATATAGCTTCCCATCTTGCATTCCTAACTGAGTTTCACTGGTTGGAGGCAGGACCTAAGAATAAGTAGTGTTTAATGTTGTCAGGTGTTTCTGATAAGGAATTTGGCTTTAGGACCACTTAATCAAACAAATAAAGTATTGGAGAGACATACTAATGAAGCATAATTAATATTGAAATAGAATTACTTTTAGGGCTCACCTGATAGTTTGGTATGGATTCAGAATGTGACGGGATGAAAGATGCTGATTTGAACACGTCTGATGAAAAGACCACCTTACAAAGCAAGAGGTTTTAATTTTAGATTATATCTAACACAAGATAATTCCCAAATTGCTTTATTCTTTCAATAGCTACTTAAAATATAAAACTTTAAACTAGCTCAATGGCTAAATCCTCCTTTTGCAAGTGCCAGTATCTTATATGGGTGCCAGTTCATCTTCCGGCTGCTCCATCTTCCATCCAGCGCTGTGCTTATGGCCTGGGGAAACAGTGCAGGCCAGCCCAAAGCTTCGGGATCCTGCATTAGCATGAGTGATCCAGAAGAAGCTCCTGGATCCTGGCTTCAGAGCAGCTCAGTTCCGGGCATTGTAGCCATTTAGGGAGTGAACCAGTGGATCAAAGATCCTTCTCTCTCTAATTTGGATGTTCCTTTCCAATAAAAATAAATCCTTAAAAAACATATACATAAAAATGTCAAAACATAAGTATATTTCTCATAATTTCACTCTGATAATTATTAAAGAAATATAAGTGCACATTGAGCAGGGAAAAGCATTTACACTAAAAAGCAGAATAAGACAAGGATGCCTACTCTCACCATTACTGATCAATATAGCTTTGGAAGTTTTAGCCAGAGCCACCAGGCAAAAAAAACATATTAAAGAGATACAAATTGGAAAGGAGGAAGCCAAGCTTTCTATTTGCAGATAGCATGATTCTATACATACGGAAATCAAAAGACCCCACTAAGAAACTATAGGAACTCATAAGACAGCTTGACAAATTCATAGGATAATAAAATCAACATACAAAAATAAATAAATAACATTTGTACACACAAACAATAACATGGCTAAGAAAGAATTTGCAAGATCACTACCATCCATTATAGCTACTAAAATTTTTAATACCCTGGGATAAATCTAGCTACAGATGTGAAAGACCTCTACAATGAAAATTGTAAAATGTTCAATTAAGGGGAAAAAAATAGAAGAACACACATGCATTAAAAAAATCTTCCAATTTATAAAATTACATTCTTCTCAGATCTAGAAAAATTATCCTAAAATTCATATGAAAATACAAGAGTTCTCCCAGATAGTTAAAGTAATGTTAAACAACAAAAACAAAGCTGGAGACATCACATCAGCTTTCATGTCTGATAATTTATTACTGAATGGCAGGAACTGCAAGTGTTATGCTTTGGTTATTAGAACGTGCCTTGTCCTTTGAAGCAGTGATTTACTTTGCTCTGGGTACACACTGAAACCACTTGGAATGATGTGGATGCTTTTGAGATTGTTTCTAATATTAATGGGACGGTGTTTCCCAAAGAAGTCTTTAGTGGTGATTTAAAAAGCCTGGCTTAGCCTCTTTACTCAGATGATGGTCTCCTAGGGGTTATACTAGTGGTATTCTAAGTTTTTTCCTCTGGCAGAAACGAATCTGAATTACTTGTAGCCCATGTGAACTCCTGTAATTTTTAGCTTTATCCTTTCCAGTGAATTCCACCCACCCCTGCACACTCTTCTCTGTGGTGATTTCCTATTTGGATCACTACCCAGCAAAGCCTTCAGAGGGAGCTATTTCACAGTCATCTAGAAACATTCTGCCGCAATTTCTTTTTGTTTCCACTCTTTACAAATTCTGCCTCTGTCCACCAAATTCTAATCTCTCTATTCCCAATCAATGAAACTTCAAAACACTGCCTAAGTTCCTCCTCTTGCTGCTGCTGCCAGTTGGTAAGATGCTTGGGCTCACCTTGTCTGTCTGCTTCTGTAAGGAATCACAAGGTTCATGCTACCTTTTGTCCAATGCCTGAAAATCACATATTTGCATGCATTTTATTTTTATTTCTCACTGCTTAACGCAAATTAGGCCCTTGTAGCTTCATTTTGGTTAGAAGTGTGGCATTTATTTTTCATGGACCTAAAATGGACACTATTTTATTAGACAATTATCAATATTTAAACTCAATGTAATTATTAGTATTATGTAACAAAATACATAACAAATGTTAACTAAAAATGCAACCTGAAAAAGATCTCATTAATATTTACATCAGACACCATCCAACACATAAGAATTAGCCTAGAGATCAAGAAAGCAATGTAGCGGAATAGAGTAAGGACACATTAAAACAGATGCAGAAGGATCAGAGGAGGAGAGGCAGAGAGTGTTATCCCAGGAAATAGGTGAGGATAGGCTAATGGTAGAGGGATACCTGGAGACATGGGGAAGCAGCAGAGTCAGCAGAGTGGTAGGGCGGTGAACAGACATCCCAGCAGCGATTGGAGCTCCAGTGGCAGTCAGATGAGATCACCAGGAATGCCATAGCATTGCAGGTACTGCTGATTTTTTTAATCTTACCATGAGCACAAGAAGAGTAGTAGAGCCCTTTTGGGTGGGTTGACGTGGGAACAGGATGGATTTCGTGGCCCCAACTTCCACCAGTGCCTTATGAGGAGTCATTTGGAATTCTGTGACAAAGTTCCTGGATTAGGGGACAACATTGAACTCTGCATGTGCTAAGCCAGTGGAGAAATCACTTCTGGCTCAATGCATTGCATTGGTCCCACCAGGAATATAATACCAACTTGGCAATCCATGGATTCCATCCAAAATAAGTCTAGGTTGCCCCAGAACTAATTGCCAGCAGATTCTAGCAACAAGAGGAAAGAAAACAAAAATCCATGTGATGGGTACCACTGAGAGCCTGAGATCTACTTTTAAGTCACAGCTGGTGTATCCCTAATCCCAAGTACTACTAAAATAACAAGTGTGAGAAATATTGAGCAGACAATGGTGTGGTCACAACATAGGATCACAGTGGGATAAGAGTGGCCACCAGAGGAGTACTGGCTGTGGAGACCATGACAGCAGCATAGAAAGAGAGCCCAGAACTAAAACTCAATGTAGGCAGAGGAATGAGTGACACAAATGCAGAACCAGGCACTGAACAGGATCAGTAAAATCAATTTGTAGACCTGTGGACGATAAAGCTTAAAATTGGCCGTGAGAAGAATCTGCTAGTGTGAGTTGCAATGGCCAAGGCCAAAAGAAGGGGCACAGGCACAGTTATTGACACCTCCCCCGCAAAGGAGCAAAACACCATGTCAATCTCAGAGTTAACTGAGGAAGACATAAAGGAACTGCCAGATTTAAAAAAAAAAAATCTAAATCATTATAAGGATCCTTAGAAACAGCAAGAAGCACATACAGGAGTTTAAGGAATTAAGAAACACATTATGCAGGAAATAGCAACAATGAAATAAAACCAAACTGAATTATTTGAAATGAAGACTACAATGCAGCAAAGTAAAAATTCAGTGGAAAGTCTTCAATAATGGAATTAAAGAGACAGAAGAAAGAATCTTACAATTGCAAGACACTTCCTGCAATAAAGCTGAAACAGTCAAAAAGCTGGAAGAAGGACTTAGTTAAGCTGAGAAAATTACACACAAATTATCTGATACCATCAAGAGGCCAAACATAAGAATTCTGGATGTTTCTGAAGGCACAGAAAGAGAAGCTGAGTTGAAAGATATATTCAATCAAACAATGAATGAGAACTTCCCTAACATGGAGAAAGAAAAGGAAAATCAAATATAGGAAAGCAGAGAATCATAAATAGATTTGACCAAAGTGAGCCTCACTGTGACACATCATGATCAAGCTCTTTGGTTGAATTGAGAGTACGATACCAGATTTTCCACCATTGCCATAATACACTAAAATAGCAGAATCTTGGACTGTGACTGTTGCTGAAGAACTGTTACTTTTCTAATAAGATGGGACAAAACGGTGAGCAGCAGGAGAATGGAGCGAGAGGTAAGGGAGGTGAAGGGGGAGTCCCTATCCCTACCAAATCATATTATGGTTTTTAGATATTTGTTGCCTTTTGTATGTCTTTGGGAAATTGTTCATTTTAAAACCGGATTACTTTAGTATTTGCTGAACTGTATAATTCCTTACTTATTTTGAATAATATCTGATCAGAGACATCATTTGCAAATATTTCCTCCCACCCCACAGCTTGCTTTTTTCAGTCTACTGGGTGTTTCCTTTGATGCAGAGACTTCTTAACATTTGATGCAAACCCATCTGTCCATTTCACTATTGGTTTTAAGTGTCTGAAGCTAAGACATTTGAAGCCATGCTTGGTTAGGAACTTCCCTAAATTTTGAAAAGAGGTAAGGTGCCATGTTTTATTTGTCACTTAATTAAAATCTCCAAACAGTGTTAGTTCATAAGTTAATTAAAACTGTTCTTTTTATAGTTTTTACCATTTAGGCATTTTACTAATTATCCAATTTTAGTTTAAATGCATTCTTTATTTTTTCTGCAAATATATTCCTTTATCATACATTCACTTATTACTCATCCTACAAATAAATAGGGAAACTACTGTAAACCAGACACTCTCCAAGTACCAGATAATAGTTGCTGTCTTTTCCATTCAGTGTTTACCCAAAGATGTCATAACATTTGGGTCTGGACAGCCCTAACACACAATGTATACTGTTAACTTTAAGGATATCAATGCATTTTGTGATGTTTGCTTTAAAAATACTAGCTGTATTTCAATGCCTTTCTTGAAAATCATAGTTTATGCAGAGGCTCTAAAGAATGTGAACGAACCATTGAAACAAATTCACCTGAATCAGTTATGAGTTGAAAATGATGTTATCATGCCTCTCCAATTCAGTTCAGTACTCCAGAAGTTGTCTCAAGACTGTATTTCTTTAACTCACTTTCTAAATTGATTCATTTAAAAACAAAAAACAAACTACTTTTAACTCCAAAATCTATTTTCCCATAGAATTCAGAAGATTTTGTAACTTGTCTGTGAAGCTATTAGCTTAGACTTCTAGGAATGTGTTCTAGAACTCAGGGGAGTCTTCAGTGTTCAAACCAGTTGCCCCAGTGACAGACTATTTCAACCTCTTAAATATGCCTCCAGTTTAAATGCTTTTTGGCTTACAAACCACATTTAGCTAGTTTGATTTGGCTTAGTTTTGCTTGCTGTGTATACATCTGATACCATCTTTAAG